ACTCGCAACTCGCATTTTGTGACTCGCAACTCGCATTTTGTGACTCGCAACTCGCATTTTGTGACTCGCAACTCGCATTTTGTGACTCGCAACTCGCATTTTGTGACTCGCAACTCGCATTTTGTGACTCGCAACTCGCATTTTGTGACTCGCAACTCGCATTTTGTGACTCGCAACTCGCATTTTGTGACTCGCAACTCGCATTTTGTGACTCGCAACTCGCATTTTGTGACTCGCAACTCGCATTTTGTGACTCGCAACTCGCATTTTGTGACTCGCAACTCGCATTTTGTGACTCGCAACTCGCATTTTGTGACTCGCAACTCGCATTTTGTGACTCGCAACTCGCATTTTGTGACTCGCAACTCGCATTTTGTGACTCGCAACTCGCATTTTGTGACTCGCAACTCGCATTTTGTGACTCGCAACTCGCATTTTGTGACTCGCAACTCGCATTTTGTGACTCGCAACTCGCATTTTGTGACTCGCAACTCGCATTTTGTGACTCGCAACTCGCATTTTGTAACTCGCAACTCGCATTTTGTGACTCGCAACTCGCATTTTGTGACTCGCAACTCGCAACTCGCAGAAAAGAAACCCTCCTTTTCATGCACGTTCCCATGTTACATATCTCACATTCCTGTAGTACAGTAGGCCTATCATATGTCCAACGTCATAGTAAATTAACACTTTAATACAAAAAAAAAAGAAATACTTGTGTATTCATTGTGTTATTTATTCACCTTAACACTGTATACATTGTATTTAAAACCCAAATTCTTTAGTTACACAAAAGGTAATAATACTCTTAAGAGCCACGACGCGGTGCATTTTTGAGCATTAGGGTAATTAAAAACTATATAATCTGAATCCACGATTTTGTATCAAGATAGCAATCTTTTATTTTAGTTATAAGTCGGTTTATTACAGAAAATGTATTTTTAAAAACTTGTTATCACTTGCGAATTGACATCTTATTAAACATTTCAAATATTTTTGCCTGCAATCTGGATGTTTAATTTTGTGAATGAAAATTTCCCAAATAGTTGTCTGTAATGAACACGATGGATCAATCAGCATACATTGTGTAATATTTTTAGCCCATTTCTTGTGTTGAACTTTTTGGATCCTGAAAGCTGTATAACCTTAGCTTTTATGGTTACGAGTTGAGTGTTGCTTACACTCGAATTCAAGGAATGTTTTGCGTTGATAAATTCCTAAATTTGGAATGGTATCTCTTCCAACTGCTTTATTTAAATTTTTGATTTTATAAGAATATTGGTCCCAAAATCCCTCATCTTCACTGGACTTTGGTTTTCAATAATTCTGGAATTCAGTGTGAAAACAGTTTCTTAAAAATTGTCCGCAGTGGTTTGTAATTGTAATTTGAAGTACTGATTTGTGTTTATTTTTAACTGGAGATAAAATATGAATGTAGGCTTCCCATGTTTTCCTTCTTTTTTTTTTTGCCATATTTTTCAGTTCATTAACATGAAATGATAAAGTATAAAATGCAAAATTAATTATTCATGGTGAAAAATTAGTTAAATATGACTATATATTTTTAAATGAAGCTTTACATACCTTAAAGGCACCCTTGCAGTATTATTGGTTTACAATTTTGCTGCCCGTTTCATAATGGAAAATTAATTTAAGAAATATACATATATATATATATATATATATATAATTAATTAATTTAAGAATCATCAAAGAAAGGTAAATACAGTGTTCGAATAAAGGACTTAATAAATACATCGTGTAGCATAGTTCTCAACGAATGTAGTCCTGTAAATAAATGAATAAAGAAATTGTGTAATAAAATGCCTCTGGTGGGACTCGAACCTGCGACCTCTCGCTGTCAAGGCGAGTGTCATAACCACTAGACCACGGAGGCTTCATGGTTGAACAGATTCAAATACCACCAGATACACTATATTACACAATAGGTACGGCTAGAAACAAATAGGTGCATTAATTAATTTAAGATATATATGTAACCTGGTTTCACGGTTCGATAGTACAAATGAAAATAATAATGAGAAACAATAAACAAATTTATACAACTATAAGCAAGCCAGCGTCTTTATTGCGTTGTGTTCAATCTCAAATCAAGAACCTAACTGCTCAATTCCTAAAATAATCCCAAAGTCTATTAAACTTGGACTTCCCATTAAAAGTGGCAGTGACCCACCTTGTGAGTAAGTTCACCGGAACAGGGAGGGTATGATAATGTGAGGGTCACATTCCAGCGGATGGCCAGGATGAGCGGTTGGTAGGAACGAACATAAATTACACTATAGGGAGGTATTTGTGCATCTTTCAAACAGGTTGTCACTAACGTTAAGGTGCATTAATTAATTTAAGATATATATGTAACCCGGTTTCACGGTTCGATAGTACAAATGAAAATAATAATGAGAAACAATAAACAAATTTATACAACTATAAGCAAGCCAGCGTCTTTATTGTTCAATCTCAAATCAAGAACCTAACTGCTCAATTCCTAAAATAATCCCAAAGTCTATTAAACTTGGACTTCCCATTAAAAGTGGCAGTGACCCACCTTGTGAGTAAGTTCACCGGAACAGGGAGGGTATGATAATGTGAGGGTCACATTCCAGCGGATGGCCAGGATGAGCGGTTGGTAGGAACGAACATAAATTACACTATAGGGAGGTATTTGTGCATCTTTCAAACAGGTTGTCACTAACGTTAATGATGGACATACATTATAGTACAAGGTCAACTGTTGGACTTTATCATGGATAGTTATGGTATGCTAAACTACTTAGGCTACATATATATATGTATATATTTTAATGTTTTAAATGTTATGTTACTAAAATATTATATATTATATTATATTATACTATATTATATTATTACTTTATATGTATGTTTATATTTTATTTATATTGTTTATTAATTTGTATAGAATGTATAGAATGCATTAATATTATTTAATATACTGTAGTTAATAGCATAAATATTACATATATAAAAATTAAATAATTTTTTCATATATATCTTGTTGTTATATATTTATATTGTTGCCATATATTTACTATATATTTATATTTATTATTACCAGTATTAACAATAATAATCTTTAACATGTATAATGACTAATGAAATAACTAACGACTAATGCATATTTATAACACTAGACGTCATCATGTAACTATCACAAGTCCAGCTGCAGGCCGATTCAAGAGTCCCCGCTTGCTAGAAATTGTATTAACTGAACTGTAAAATGTAGTAGAAGTAGGGCACAGGCCTAAGCCTAACTATACCTAGATACACTATAGGTCGTTTGAGTGTTACTTCAGTGCGAGTTGCGAGTTACAAAATGCGAGTTGCGAGTTACAAAATGCGAGTTGCGAGTTACAAAATGCGAGTTGCGAGTTGCAAAATGCGAGTTGCGAGTTGCAAAATGTGAGTTGCGAGTTGCAAAATGCGAGTTGCGAGTTGCAAATGAACTCATCCATGGCCAATCCATGTTTACATTTTGTGTTGGATTGCAAAATTCTCCTGTCACTTATACAGTACCATCATCCTTAGAAACATAAATATTTACTTCCATACTCATGTGCTCATGTTGTATGCCTTTGTATTTTTTTTCCCTTACGAACAAAAATGATTTAAATTGTTTTATGCACAATTTAAAGTTTTGGCACGGTTTTAAGTGGTTTGCTGTACTTTAATGAGTCCAAGACTTCAGTGGCATAGAAATTTGTAATAAATTAAATCAAATAGTTTGAAATCAATAATTAAATTAAATCAAATAGTCAGACAACCAATAATGTAAATACTCTTCCTTCACAAACACACACACCACACATACATACATTTTTCAGTTGCTTTTTCATTTATATAACATACATGTTAGGAATTCACAGAAGCAAGGTTACTCATAGCAAGTTGTTAAATACATACACACACACATACAATCTGAGGTCTACATCCATATCAATTGTTTTACAAATTTGGTAGAAGCTATTACAAGGTACTATATATTCTGTTGATTACTGGTACACTTTTTTTCTTAATTTTTAAGCAATTTCAGCCTCATTGTTCTTATAAAGTGTGTTCTTATTTTTTTTGTTGTTATGGTTCAATTTACTCCTGGTCTCACCTTACCTCCTCTACTCATCCATATGTTTATCTAATTTTATTTGTTCACCTCACTTTAAATATTTAACCTTATGTTTCCAAGACCAGCTCAAAATATTTTATCCAAAGAAAATAGTTCATTAAGGCTACAAGATAAATACAGGACAGTGACCAGCTCAGTCCTTCAGGATAGTCACCTTGTAGATCTGATAATGTTTAGTGCATGGTGTAAGTCAGCAATAAAAAGTCAAAATACTAAAAACTG